TGTGCTCTGAGCTAGGTGGGCAGCTTGCTGGCCCTGACCTTCCTCAGGCCTGGCCCATGCCCCCACCCATCAAGAGTCCCCCACTCTCTTTGTCCTCTGGGGCCTACAGCCCCCGCTGGGTAGGGTCAGGGGTCCTGGCCACAGGGCAAGGTGGAGCCATCAGCATCCTGTCCGTCAACAGGGCCAGTGGCTCCCGCACTGCGCAGCTCCCGGGCCAGCTTCTCGGCCAGTTTTCGAAAGGGTGGCCGGCGGGCAGGCTCTGCCTCCCAGCAGCTGCTCATAAGGGTGTGGACAGGGCCCGGGCAGCCCGCAGGGGGCTCCATGCGGTACCCCTTCTCCACGGCCTCTGTCACTTCCTTCAGCGACTACGGGCAGAGGGCATACCGGTGTGGGCTGGGGGTTAGGGCCACAGCCCCAAACCCGCATGGAACCCAGTGCCTCCCCTCCCCCAGACCACGCTCACCATCTTGGGGTATGGAGCCCGGCCATATGAGAAGACCTCCCACAGCAGCACCCCGAAACTCCAGACATCGGACTTGCTGGAGAATTTCTGTGGGCCCAAGACTAGGGTGAGGAAGGACCCCTCAGGGTTTCTGCTCCAGCTCCTACTTCCTCCGGGAAGTCCCCCCAGATTGACCTTCACTCTCTGGTCTCTTCTAATAGCCTCTACTCCCTGAGTTTCCCAACCCCCAACTGAGTGGAGCTCAGACTCAGTGCATGAAGGAGTTTGGTTATTCTTGCCCTCAGCTCTGAGCCCAGAAATGGGGAAACTGAGGCCCAGACAGGGTCACACATAGGAGAGGCCAGATAGGGGCTAAAAAGAACAACTGTGGGCAAATGGTCACTGGGGAGGCAGAGCCATTTCCCTTGGAGGTTCAGAGATACCAAGACACATGCCCAGGGTCACACAGTGGAGCTGGGGCTCCAAGGGACCTGGAGATAGAGGAGCGCTCACCCCATGTTTGAGTGCCTCGGGCGCTGTCCACTTGACGGGCAGCCGGCTGGAGTCCAGCCCCTTTCGCTCAGCTTTGGCCAGGCCGAAGTCACTAACCTTGGCCACCAGGTCTTCAGAAATGAGGATGTTGCGGGCAGCAAGGTCTCGGTGCACCAGCTTCTTGCTCTCCAGGTATTCCATGCCCTCGGCCACATGCCTGGGGAGAGGCAGGGGCACCCGGGCTGTGGTGACTGGGTGGCAAACTCCCAAGGCCAGGTTTCTACCTGCTCTGTGCCTCCATTTCCCCTTGACCTTGAAAAGCCTCCTCCCCTTTCCCCAGGGGTCCCCACTCACAAGGAAAACTGCAGGAGCTGAGGGGTGTTTACAAGGGCCCGGCCCCGAGTCCGTAGAAAGTTCACCAGGTTGCCCTGTGGGGAGAACAGGGGGCTGGGGTTCGAGGCCTCCTTGGCTGCCCCCAGCCCCGCCTGCACCTGGGCCCCACTGCACCTTGCTCACGTGCTCCATGACGATGTAGAGCCCCTGGTGCAGGATCACGCCCAGCAGACGCACCAGGTTCTTATGCTGCATCTTCCTAGAGGCGGGGAGGCGAATCTGGGGTGAGAGTGCAGCCAAAATCCCTGACCCCAAGGTGCCTGATCCCCACCTGGGACTCACGTCATGACCGCTGTCTCATCCAGGAAGGCCTGAGCTGTCACATCGCACTTGATGTTCTTCACGGCCACCTTCTGGCCCAGGTACTCACCCTGCAGGACCGCTGGTGGGCGGGACAGAGATCAGGACCCAACAGAGACGGAATAGACACAGGGACACACCACTCACGACTCCCATGTACACCAGCATATCCTTGGGTCCCCAGACCTGGAAAACCCCTCTTCCCTACAAGCTCCAGACCTTCTGATGAAAGAGAATCATCTAAGCCAGAGGTCAGCAAAATCTAAAATCCCTCTGGCCAAATCCAGTCCCGTCATGTGTTTTTGCAAGGCCCTCAATCTCAGAGTGGTTTTTACATTCTTAAAATGGTTTAAAAAAAAACCCAAAAGAATGCTTTTTCATGACATGTGAAAATTATACAAAATTCAAAATTCAGTGTCCAAAAAGTTTTATTGGCACATGGCCATGCCTGTCGGTTTACCTGTCATCTGGGGCTGCTTTCCTGCTACAAAGGCGGAGCTGAGCAGATGTGACAGGGACCATCTGGCCGGCAAAGCCGAACATATTTGCACTTTACAGAGAAAGTTGGCAGACCCCTGATCCAAGCCCCAGAACCTTCCAGAATAATCATTTCAGGGAAACGCATTCTTAGCAGAGCGACTAGCATGTGCAAGAGCCTGGAGGTGTGAGGGACTCATTTACGTTCACTGGGTGCCTGCCTGACTACGTTACTCCTCATGACAACTGTTTCATGTCAACCCTGTTTCATAGAGGGGGAAACTGAAGCACAGAGAGGCGTGGTTTGTCTTGAGTCATCCAGCAAGTAGGTATTAAATATGGATGTGAATCATCTCTGTGACTCCAAAACTTTATCCCACCCCGTTACTCACCTCCAAACTCCCCCTCTCCGATCTGTGCTCCCAGCGTCAAATGCTGTAAGTTTAGCAACCAGCCGGCTGTGGGATGAGGACCTGGTCAGAGGGGTAACAGGCTCCCCAAGGCCCTCCCATCGGGGGTACCACCTGGTGAGAGACACCGGGTGTCTCATTCAGGTGGCTGCTGTTCCCAGCAATGGTTCAAGGGCATTTCTGATGCACCCACCCTGGTACCGTTTTATCATGCAGTCGAAGGCAACAGGGCCTTCGATTCAGGGCTGCCTATCTCTCTTCTACTTGGAGACTGTGTCCCTCTGATTACCCCAATGGCTCTTCTCTTTACCATCCTTTACCTCTGGCCACCCAGGGACATACACAGAGCAAAAAATACAACAGACAGAGAGACCAGTAAAGCTTCTAGACCCTTCCAGTGCTTTAAGTCATAGTCTGTGCTTGCATCCCTGACCCCTTGTCACAAGCAGGCCAGTGTTCTCCCCTTCTCTCCCCTCTAGCAGGTTCTGTAGGCCTCCTCCCAGTCCAAATCAGGAACCCTTCGGTATGTCAGGAATGGTGACACCAGCCTCCACCCGGGTGTTGTCCCCATGACGTCCAGATTGTCCAGGACAGACATGTGCTTTTAAGGAGACAGCCACGGTCATCAGGTTCAAAAGACTGTAGGGGTGGCTGTGGTTAGGGGCATTTGCTTTGGGTCTTGAATATTGACGATTTCACTACACAGGAGCTGGAAAAGCATTTCCTGTGAAGGTAACAGAATGTACAACAGCACAGAGGCATGAGAGGAAATGAGTCACAGCCCAGGGGGCCTTGTGAATGGAGGAAGGGTCCTGTAGATGAGGCAGGAAAGAAGGCTCAGTCACAAGAGAATGTTCTAGAAGGCAGAAGAGCTGCAGGGCCTCCCTCCTTTAAGCAGGGGAACAAAGTGGGTGGGTTATCAGGGTAGAAAGCTGCCTCTGGGGGTACAGAGGTAGGGGTAGAGAGAAATGAGGACTGCCACCCTGGAAAAAGGTGGTCTGATGGAAAGGTATGAGGTCAGGCAGGGTATTAGAACCTCACCATGAAGGGGATGTGGGAGTATGGGGGGTGGGTTGAGGTTTGGGGTCAGGTTTCTGGCTCAGGTGACAAGGCAGATGATAAGGACATGGGTGTGAGAAGTAACAGGTATGGGAACCCCCTCAATCTTGAGATGATCAGTGTCTGTTAGTGACCCTTGCCCAACCCTGGGGCAGCCCAGGCCTTCCACCCGCAGTGCCAGGCACAGCGCCATACTCGAGTGCTGTGGCATTGGCGAAGTGCTGGGCTCCAGGGCCCTGATTCCCCAAGGGGGAGAATGTGGGTGGAGCGGGTGCAGACCCCTACCCTTGGCCAGCTCCTCCTCCGCAGATTTGGCCCCCTGCTTCCTCTTGGGTTTCACGAGTTTCGTGCAGATGGCCCCCTTGTCCTTGCTGTAATGCTGCAGGGCAGGGTAGGGCAGGGCAGAGGTGGCTGTGAGTCCAACCCTTGGGTGTGGGGAACTCCTGCATTCCTGGGGGGGGGGACTCTGGACAGGGTGGTCATGAGCTGATAAGGAGGAGAGGGGTTTGGGTCTCAGAGAATGTGTTGGGCTGGTTTCCATGGAAACAGGAAAGAATGTAGGCTAGGGGAGAAAAAGGGAGGATGGGGAGGTCTCTGGATTGCTGTCAACTTGGAGGTCCCTGAAGGTCCCAGAAGGAGCCACCCCAGTCCTTGGAGGTGGGACCTAGAGGACTCAGACCACCTAGAGAGTTGGTGGTCCATGGGCACCAGCTCCTTCTCTGTACTGGGGAGCATGCATCTCTGGGGTGTGGGGCGCACCTCCACCATATCCATGAGGTTGCAGAAGCAGACGGCTTCGTCAATGGTCAGGTGGCCATCGCGGTGCAGCACACGGTAGTGGATGACATCTCGGCCGAAGCTCACGCATAGCACGTAGTCACCTGGATGTCGCACCGACTCGCGCACCAGAAACAGCCCATCCTCAGGCGGCTGCAGCAGCTGCACCGCCTCCTGGCCTGAGATCTTCCCGTGAAACCACCTGCAGAGGTAGAGGGGGCAGGCTGGGCTAGGCTGGCCAGGCCCACCTGGCCCCCCATTCCAGGATGCCCCACAACTCACGGCATGAGGCTGAGCTTGGGGTCAGCGGAGAGGGCCTCACGCTCCCGTAGTGCGCCAGCTGCCAGCAGCCCCTCCTGCCCGCTGCTGTGGTGCTTGGCACGGTACCAGCTCTTGCTCTGCCGGGGATCCATATGAGTGTGTGTGTGTGTGTATGTAGGGGTGTGGGGGGGTCCTGTCCCCAAACACACCCAGGCCCTCCGGCTACTGCTCACCTCGCAAGCCTCCAGGATGGTGACCACGTCACCCTTGCGAAAGGCCAACTCTCCAGGCTTAGGGCGCATGTGCTCACACTTGGTAATGCATTGGGTGCCTGGGGCCCAGCGCCTCTGGGTGGGTGGGTGGGGGTTGAGGGAGAGGGGCAAAAGGGACATGAGAGAGATGTCTCAGAGAGAGAAAGATTGGATTGAGACAGAGAAAACAGAGAGAGAGAGGAGGCGAAAGGACAAGCAGCTGCCAGCAGAGACTTATTAGAGTCACAAACAGGGGGTGCTCAGCACAGGTCAGGAAGAAAAGGTGAAAGAAATGCAACACCAAATAACAGAGAGACTGGGAGACACCAGCTAAAGATGTGGGTCAGGGGACAGTCCCCCTCCCCTTGGAGCTGAGGTCCTGTGGGCGTGGACTGAGCTGAAGAAGGGCCAAGGACACAGGCACCCAGGTTGAGGGTACTCACCGTGGGCATCCTGGCTAATATGGGTGGAGGGGTGCCAGGCACAGAGGAAGCGAGGGCTCACCTGGGGAGGGGGCAGAGACCAGCTGGAGAGCCCAGATTCAACCCATCACCACCACTTCCAGCCCAGGCCATGTGGAGGGGACAGCCAGGGGTAGCCCCAGGGCGGGCTCAGGTACTGGTTCTCCCAAGGCCCTTTGGGAAGGTGGCCTTTACCCAGGGGAGTTCCTTAGCAGAGTCACAGCCATGAAACACCAGCAAGGAAACCATGGAACCTCACCCCACCATGGTTCCCAAAGGGAAACTGAGGCACAAGGTGTGCACAGAGCTAGTGGCCATGGGCCGGGGATGGGGGAGGTGCCTGGCTCAAGCCCCAGCAGCCCACTCAGCACATGGGGAGCTTGGTGCCACCTAATCTAGCCTGGTTCTTCCTCTTTTCTGGTGAGTGGGCAGGAGCAGGGCAGACAAATACAGAATGACTCAAGGTCATTCCCAAGAAACTCTGACCTGAGGGTGGGGCGGGGCCGGTGCAGCCCTGCTGGGCTCCTCTGGCCACCAGCTGAACCTTTCTGATCCCTCCACCCCAACCCAGGACGGACACACAAAGTCCCTCATTGCTGCTTGGGTGGGGACTTTTCCACCCCTTGGTACCCCCATCTATCCTACCGCAGGTGGCTGGGCAGTGGGGCAAGTTGGAGGGTGAATCTTGGTTCCTCCAGTGTGCACCCTCATAAATCCTCAGCCCTATGTGTACTCACACCTATACTGATCCATGTACACACGAGCACACACACAAACACACAGGGCATGGACATAGGTACCCACAGGCACCCAGGTGTGCAAGCAAAGGCATGTCCCCCTAGAGACGGGTGTACACAATCCTCTACATGTGTGTACACATGCACAGGTGCTGGGACATCTGGAAACGTGTGTATCTGCCCACCCCCCAACACACATGCACAGACCCACGCTTGAACCCCTGGGCGCCAAACGCTGGGCCACCCAGCCACGCAGAGCTACACACAGGGCCGCGCACACGCACCTCGGCCACAGGCGCACATGCCTCCACGTGGACGCGCTGATACACTCGGGGGCTTGCAGACGCGCACACCCCCACCCAGAAAAATACTCCCCACCCCGCTCTTGATCGCCTCTAACCACCCCCACCTCAGCGGCGTACCCGGCGCGCGCCTCGGACGTGCACACTCGCGCGCACACCGGCCCCTCCCGCGAACGCCGGAGCCCCCACGGAGCCCTCTGGTTCCCCTCCACTGCCCCTGCGGTCGCTACCCCCAATCCCGTCGCCGCGCTCACCTGCTCAGGGGGCGTCTCCGGGCCTCGCCCCGCGCCCGCCCCCAGGAGGGCCCCCGCGTGCCGGCTGCGCACCCCCAAGGCGGGCCCCGCTGCACAACTTGGAGCAAGTTCCACCGTTTCCTCATTTTGGGGAGGGGAGGAGAGGTGGGGTGGCGAGGGAGCGGGAGGTGCCGCGGCCAGGAAGGACCCCGCGGGTCCTAGCGCCGGCCGCACTGCGGTCTGCTCAGCGCGCCGCCGCGGATCCCTCCCCGCCCCGCCTCCGCGGTCTCCGGCACCTCCCGCGCGGCGAGGATGGGGGCTGGAGGCGCTTGCGGGCTCCACGCTTCTCCCTGGCCTGGTGCTGAGGGGCGCGCAACCCTAGCTCATCTGGAGAAGCGGAGGCGTTGGAGTGTGGAGCAGGTGCCACACGACGCGTGCGCGCGGAGTGGAGTGATTGAGCTGCCCGTCAGGGAGATAAGCAGGCGGCAGAGCCCAGACGACAAATGGGCTCTTCTGACTGCCATTCCAACGCCCTCTGTCACCTCCTCTGCCAACTGGAGCTCATTTAATTACCTGTTGCTATAGAGGGCTGTTGGTGCCTGGCACAAAGAAACCACCCCAAAAATGTCAACCGCTATCAGTATCGTCATCATCATCATTAAGGGTAAATTGGGGCTACAGGGAAAAAACGATGTGGAACTGGAGGCCTCCTGGTGGAGCAGCGCTTCTTTGGAGAATAATGGTGGGATCTGAGGCAGGGAGCCAACTCTGCTGTGCCAGAGTCAGGACTGCCCCACTCTTGACCTCCGTTTCCTCCTCTTAAGGGCTGGGCAACACCGGAGTCCCCCTCACAGGACAGCTGGATGAGCACTGGATGGCTACTGCACTGGGCCTGGCCCCCAGCGATGGCTCCGTTCCCTCTAATGGTTGAGTCCGCTTGGACAATGATGAAGCTAATCTTAGGAGGGCTATGAACCAAGATGCCCAGGTAGCCTGGGTCTCATATTTAACCCTCTGTTACTCCAAAAGGCTAAGTGACTATGACTCTGAGGCATCATGGAATTTTTGGGAATAGTGGCTCAGTTCCAAGAATTATAGAATATCCATATTATGGGATATTATGCAACAGAAACAGGAAACCTATGTATTAAGGTGCTAAAATCTCCGGTTGTTGAAAACCACACCAGGATGTGACACAATGCAAATGGCACAATCCCATTCATGTAATACAGGAGAGAGTAAATTGATGAGAAAAGTTCCAGAAGGAGACCCTCCTACCAGCAACAAGGTTATCCCCAGCAAGGGAAGTAGGCAGGAGGCGAGGGTGGAAGAGGACGCCTTTCCAGCCTGGTGGTATAATTTATTAGTGCTGGTGTTTGCACAGAGGATACTCTGAGAACGCTCCTGCTAAGCAGGGCTTCCCGTGCTCTGTGGATCTGGCTGTGGGCTAGTCCCGGGGTGTGCCCCGCCCCCCTTGCCCTGTATCCCAGCCACTGGGCACTGCTTTGGTCCTAGGGTTGGGACCCTGCAGCCAGCATTCAGTTGAGTGATGGGGGCCCACCATATATGGCAAACCATCATCACTTGCCAGAAATGGATACCCGGAGTGAAAATAGCCACAGTGGAAACCCACAGCATCATTAGATTCTCACCAGAGATTGCTGCGGCCCCAGGCCCCACAGTGGAGGCCTGCCTTCTCTTTGTTCAGGAAGGACAGGAGCCCATGTCTAAGAGGTTAGGATGCCCTAGCACCCCGTGGAGACATTCTCCCTGATGGTCAGAGAGACGGGAAGAGGCTCAGAAGGAGCTGGCTTTCTCCCTCCCCGAATGGGTACTTAGTGCCTAAATAACACCTACATCCTCCCCAGGACGCTTAGGGTTCCTTATCCCACGCTCTGGAAGGCCCTCCCCCATGAGTGATCAGAGGAAGCAAAGGTGTTGAGACTGAGGACTGACAGACTTAAGGAGATGGTGTTAAGTGCCCAGATCTCCAAGGGTTGGCCTGGGCTGGGGAACAGGGAGCCCTCCCCTCACTGGTGTGTGACAGGGCACCGAGCTGTGCATGACTCTAGGGGGATAGATTTGAGTCCATGGTTTATTTGGGTCAGAGCTACAAAAGGAGTGAGCTCCCCATTCCTGGAGGCATCCAATAATTGGCCACTTTGAATCACAAAGACTCAGTGGGTCTTACTGACCCCAGAGGTGGCAACACCAGTTTCTCCTGCCTCCTGCCAGGAGCTGAGGGACTTGCCTCTTCCTTCTACCAGTTGGTAGCCACACCATCGGATGGGGCACCAGAATTCCCCAGTGCTAGGCTCTTCACCCTCCACATTTCAGTCCTGTTGACTTGATTCCAGAAATTCTCTGACCCCCCAACCCCTGGACACCCATCTGGTGCAGGCTGGTGACACAGCAGCCCCCTCCCTGGTCTCCAAGCTGCCTCTAGTTTTTCTCCTTGTTACCATTCACCTTACACTGCATCACCAAGGGATGAAAATGTGACTGTGGCCCTCCCCTGCTCTAAATCCTGCCATAGCTCCCACTGCCAGCATGACAGAGCCTAGAACACTTGGTTTGGCATTCAGGGCTCTTCATGTTTGGCCTCCAGCTACCTCCCTGGCCTCATTTGCTTCCGCTCCCACCAAGCACCCAACAGTCTGACAACTCTGCACTGCAGGAGTTTGCATGCTTTTGCACTGGCTGTCCCCTGTGCTCGGAATGCCCTTCCCCCATCCAGATGGCATCTCCAGCTCATCCTCCATGCCCATCCCAACTGACTCCATTTTTATGAAGCCTTCTTCAGACACCCCTACTCTTCTCAGAGCAAGGCTTTCTCAGAGCAACTTCTATGTCCTGAAAGGACCCCTTGCTGGAGACACTAGCTGTCTCATTTCACTGATGGTCATGGATCTGGCCTTGGTGACTAAGATCATTAGCCTGCCTGAGAAGAAGCCAGCCCAGAGAAAGCAGAGCCAGGACACAGACAGACTGAATACCGCGGGAAGAATTCAAATCCTTGGATCCAGCCATGCCTGGAGTTCACGCTATCCCTAGTGTTGGAAAAAGGTCTTTGCTTTTTGGTTGCTTTCAGGAGGCGGTTTCTGCCACTTGTAACCAAATGAATCCCTAATACTGAAAATGGAACCAGAGAGGGGTGTTGAAATGAAGTCTCTATGATGTGGAATTGCTGAGTCAGATTAGGTTGCCCAAAACCCAGCTAGGAAGATGGATCTTTTGGGCAACTGTGCCTTCTGTGCCCTGGATCAGGTGGTGCTGGCTTCTGTCACTTGCAAAAGAGGAGCCCTGATGGACCCACCTTGTCCCTGCCTGAATGCCTTTCGTTTGTTCATCCGAATCTCACTGTTCTTCACATCTCACCTTTCTCCTATTTTGACTGTTGCTATTTGCATAACCCTCTGTTCTCCAAACTCTTGGAGATTTTGGGGACCAATCTTCTCATTTTAGAATTGGAGCAGCTGAGACCCAGAGAGGCAAGGCTACTTGCCCATGGTCACGCTGGGACTAGAAGTCAGGCCTGCAGACACGTCCATTGGAGTTGTAGGCTTCCCAAAGGCAGGATATATTTCTTATTCTTTACGAATACAAATGAAAATCATTATAGGCAATGAACAAAGGGAGTCATGTAACAGGCACTTTACATAACGCATCAGTTAAAATTAGGATTGGCTATGGGGGATGGAAGACCCCAAGTGTTAGAGGTTTAAATTAGGTAGAAATTAATGCTCTCTGAGGGAGGAAATCCTGGGCAATGTCAGGGACCCAGGCTCCTGCTACCTTGTTGCTCTTTCTCAGCACTCGAACTTCCATCTCTTGCTGCTTGAGCTCCAGCCCTTTCACCTGCATTCCAGCCAGTAGGAAGCAGGAAGTTGGCAGATAAGGGTACACTTCTTCATTTAAGGACTCCTTCCGTGAAACCCCAGGAGCAGAGGAAGATGGGAAATGTAGTCTTTACCCCAGCTCATCCTCCATGTCCATCTCAACTGGCACCATTTTTGTGAAGCCTTCTCAGACATCCATACCCTACTCAGAGCAAGACTCCACTTCTATGCCCTGAAAGGACCCAAAGGGGCCAAAGAAGAGGAGGAGGCAGGAACACTGGCATCCTCTTTCTCAAAGCTCCCAGGCTTACTCCCAACCTCAGGGCCTTTGCATTAGCTGTGCCTTCTGCCTAGGACACCTCCCCAGACATAGCCAACATTACAGCCCTATGGAATATACATCAACCTTCCAACACTTCACATCCACTCTCCTGTAGCTCTGTGGCGCTACCATGGTCTGATCGACCAAATATTTTACTTGTTTATCTTGTTTACTGGCTGCGTCCTTTCTAGAACATCAACTCCCCAGGGCAGGGACTTTGGACAGTGTCGTTCATGGCTGTGGCCTCAGTACCTGGCACATAGTAGGTGTTCAGAACATATTTTTTTTAAGCCAGTGAATATTGGGGAGGGGGGAGACCGTGAGCAGTGCCTGTCACCTGTGAGGCGAGCACTCTCATTGTACCCATTTCACAGATGGCAAAGCTGAGGCTCACCCTAGGACACAGGAAGTGGTGAGCTGGGCTTTGAACCCAGGCCCATCCAGCTCCAGGGCCCACATGCTGGTGCACGGCATGGTGTTGGGTACATGATAGACCCGCAGAGGATATGCCCATAATCAAACTTTCTGGATCTGGGGAGCAGGCAGGGCAGGGCAGCTGCAGCCAGATGTGGGGATGGCTGCGCTGGCACCATGGCCCAGTGGATCCAGTGGCTGGAGCACGCGACCAGATCAGACTGCCCCAATTAGCACACCTTTAAATTTAGCTTTCTCCTCCCTGCCAGGGGACCCGGGGATTCAGCGGAGGAACACTCTGCTCTTTCGAGGAAAAATGCTGCATTGCTCATCTTGCAACCAGAGCTGTGGTCGGCTGGATCATTCTTGACTTGGGAAACAAGGGCCCCTTTGAGCAACCTGCTTTGGGGTGCCAGGGGTGATCTGCCATTGATGGGGAAGACTGTCTGCTCTCCCCCTACAGCTCTCGCCTCATCTTCCTTGCACTACGGGTGGGACCAGGTGTATCATTTCCCTGCCACGCTTGCAGGTTCATTGTGTGTAACCTGGGCCTGTGTCATTTTCTAGCTTACAACCTTCCCATGGTGCTGGCTGTGCTTAGGATGAAACCCAAGCTCCTCACTGTGGCTCACCACTAGCTCGGTCCCACCATGGCTGCTGTCACCTCTCTGCTCTCAGCTCCCTCCGTTTCCCCTGGCTTGGCTCTCTCCTGTTCCTCAAATTCTCCAGGCATGATTCAGCCTCAGGGCCTTTGCATGTGCTGTTTTCGTCTCTTATTGCGTCCTTCCCTCAGCTGTTCTCAAAGATGGCTCCTTCTCA